TAGGAAGGATGTAACATACGATACTTTTTTATATACTTGGCGTAATCTTTTTCTTTTTTTAAAAAGAGTTTTGATAGGATATGTATTATTTGAAAGAAATTGTATAAAAAGTATTATTTTAATGTAAATAAAAATAATTAAAATGTATAACTGGAAAAAAACATCTTAAGTTAATAAATTATAATACGAATGCAATGAAAAATACAATGTTATGTTCAGTAAAAGAATGTATGATACTGATTATGCACTCTTGTTGTTTATTTTCTGTTAAGTCATTTAAAAACAAACAAATATAATAGATACATACAAATATAATTAACACTTTTTTTTCAAAAATATACAATATGACGTATTGTATTGCTTATATGCTTCATTTTTTATACATATTACATTATAATTCCAATTTTTTGCCAGGTCTTTGCTAAAAATTTCATTCCAGGTTCATCACGTGATGGAAGACGCAGCTACTCTTTTTCTTTAAATATAAGAAATACTTTTATTAATATTAATATATAAATAACAATTTTTAGTCGGTATATATTGTTTGAATACTAACCAGTGATGAGAAATGCCATCTTTCTATAATTTAGGAAGTAGGCGACCATGAGCCACTATATACGAGCTAAGCTAAAGAAATAATTTCAATTTCACACTTAAAAAAATAAGGTATATAGAATGTTTATGGTAAAGGTTGTTTGTGAAGAAACAAAAAAATATATTAGAAATAAATTTGAAAAATATGATTAAAATAGCAATTAGCAATATAAAGTTATAACTGCATCAATATATGTATTACTACATAAAGATATCGTTAAATTTATGTTTATGCAAAATATTGCTAATTTGAATAAATAATCTAATTATTATATAATTATATAAAACAAATAATACTTACGACAGCACCAACAGGTATCTATTTCATCCATTTCCTGAGCCTTAGCCCAAATTTCGGTTGTAAACACGATCGTCAAAATAAAAATTGTAGCAAGAGCCAACGATATACATGACAGTCTCATCTCTTAATGTTTACTGAAACTTAACTTATGTTACCTTATATGTTTATGATTTGGTGTCGATGCATACAGCACTTATATAAAATAAGAAATATCTAAATCTAGATATGTTTTTGTACCTCACAAGTACTTATTTTTTATATTGTAATAATATTCAATGTAAACGTATAAACATACATTTAATCAAACATAAAAACATTTTTATCTTATGCGGAAAATGTACGATGATACAAGAGACACTATAAAAAAATTATACATATATACAAAATTATTTATATATGGAATACA